GACTGACCTGACGTAGTAGCTGAGGGACTGACTTGACGTAGGGGCTGACCTGACGTAGTAGCTGGTGGGACTGACCTGACGTAGTAGCTGGTGGGACTGACCTGACGTAGGGGCTGAGGGACTGACCTGACGTAGGGGCTGAGGGACTGACCTGACGTAGGGGCTGAGGGACTGACCTGACGTAGTAGTCGAGGGACTGACCTGAGTAGCGACTCACCCTGACGTCCTAGCTGGTGGCACTCCCCTGACGTACGGGCTGAGGGACTGACCTGACGTAGTAGCTGAGGGGCTGACCTGAAGTAGTAGCTAGTGGGACTGCCCTGACGTAGTGGCTGGTGGGACTGCCCTGACGTAGTGGCTGGTGGGACTGACCTGACGTAGGGGCTGGTGGGACTGACCTGACGTTGTGGCTGGTGGGCCTGACCTGACGTAGTGGCTGGTGGGCCTGACCTGACGTAGTAGCTGGTGGGACTGACCTGACGTAGTGGCTGGTGGGACTGACCTGACGTAGGGGCTGGTGGGCCTGACCTGACGTAGTGGCTGGTGGGCCTGACCTGACGTAGTGGCTGGTGGGACTGACCTGCCGTAGGGGCTGGTGGGCCTGACCTGCCGTAGTGGCTGGTGGGCCTGACCTGCCGTAGGGGCTGGTGGGCCTGACCTGACGTAGTGGCTGGTGGGCCTGACCTGACGTAGTGGCTGGTGGGCCTGACCTGACGTAGTGGCTGGTGGGCCTGACCTGCCGTAGTGGCTGGTGGGACTGACCTGCCGTAGGGGCTGGTGGGACTGACCTGACGTAGGGGCTGGTGGGCCTGACCCGCCGTAGGGGCTGGTGGGCCTGACCTGACGTAGGGGCTGGTGGGACTGACCTGACGTAGTAGCTGGTGCGACTGACCTGCCGTAGGGGCTGGTGGGCCTGACCTGACGTAGTAGCTGGTGGGACTGACCTGACGTAGGGGCTGAGGGACTGACCTGACGTAGGGGCTGGTGGGACTGACCTGACGTAGGGGCTGGTGGGACTGACCTGACGTAGTGGCTGGTGGGACTGACCTGACGTAGTAGCTGGTGGGACTGACCTGACGTAGTGGCTGGTGGGACTGACCTGACGTAGTAGCTGGTGGGACTGACCTGACGTAGTGGCTGGTGGGACTGACCTGACGTAGTGGCTGGTGGGACTGACCTGACGTAGTAGCTGGTGGGACTGACCTGACGTAGGGGCTGGCAGCAGCCAGGATGTTCTTCTGGACAGGCAGCTCCTCTCCATCGACCACCAGCAGCGCGTCGTGGAAACTTTGCTCGAGCCAGAAGGTGCGAAGGACCCGGAGGAGTTTCTGGGCGTGTTGCGGGTCCGAAACCCTCGAACCGGTCGCTGCCGAATCGGGCATGTCTCCGTCCCACTGTGCACAGAGGACCCGGGGGACACTCTTCAATCGGGCTTCCGCAAAAGAAACGCTAGCATCCGCTAACTGGCAGCGAGCGGACTCGCTGTGTGCGGCCTGGCTAGTGACTTAACGTTAGCACAACAACAACAACAACAACAACAACAACTCCTGCGTGTAACACGGCGGAACGTCGCTTAACGTCAGTCCTACAAAACCAGCTAACTCAACTAACTGTGAACTGTAAAACGGGGGGAACGCGAAGTGAGCTGCAAACAAACTCGTGTGGGGTTGGTTACTTCCGTGTTTAGGCTCTTTGCGTCACGTGACCCACCTTAAAAAAAACAACTGCGAAACGCGCTCGTGTGTCTCACGCGGACAGGTTGCATCCAGCTGGCTTCTTTTTTTTTTTTAGGGGCGACGTGAATCACGCTGGACGCGAGAACGTTGATGTCCGGAAATGGATCTTGAGCTGCGCTCAAGGGGGAAAATGGCTAAAACGACACGCCGATTCAACTGCGCCACCTTTCTGTTCAAAACACGTGCAAGTAGGAAACAAAGCGGGGCCGTGCGAGAAGTTAAAGATCACAGCCAATTCGTTTATTTTTGCTGTAAGTACGTTGTGTCGTAACAAATGTATCATCACAGCATAAGGACCGCATCATTAATGTGGCACTTGAATGCAGCATCAGTTTGGCATACGAGGGCGTAGTTGAAGCACGTTCCAACACCTCGATGGCAACTTGTCCACCATGTGAGGAAATACTATTACTTACATTTTTAATATAATAAATACAACAATGTAAAGACACAACTACAATAAGAAATATCTCCCTGAGATACCGTTTACATGTAAATCGGCCGAATCAAGTTAGAAGAAAAAGCGAAACGGAACGCGGCCATCGGGCCCAACCGCCAGAATGAAGCTGCCAAAAATAACGGAGACACCAGAATTTCCGGTGTGAATAAAACGTTTTAAACCAAGTAGTATAGAGTTATTGCGCATACGAATCAGCTATGTAAAAGAAGCATCTACTGATATATTCGGAAACATTCAGTTAGTTGTGTACATATTGATAATGTTAGAATACATAAAGGACATTTCCGCTTTTAATTTGAAAGGAACACTCACGTTCACACCAGCCAGTGACGCTTGGCAACAATTCCCGCCGCCATAACGTTGAACAAGCGTAGACGTGATTGTGCGCTGCGTCGGACGACACGAAGGAAATAGCGGTAACTAAACGCCACGTGCGGACAGGGGTTGCTATGACGCTGCGCTAGCTGGGACAGAAGGTTCCCCAACAAGGTAAAAGAGGAAACGCGATAGTACACTTAGAAGGCCGGAGGGTGCATGTGGGGGGGTTTAGGGCGGAAGGAAGTGTCAACTGACGAGGGACCCCGGTCGGTGCCAGCAGGTTCCTTTTTCAGGACCTTTCCGGATCATCGATCGTTAGTTAGAAAACAATGCACGGCCAACCGATGGTCATGAAGATACTCATATGGAATTTGCATGAGGAGGAGGAGGAGGAGGACATGGACCCTCCATGTCGCTTAATACCAACTGAGATCGGCTGGTTCCTGAAAAAGGAACCTGCCTACCAAGGCGCTACTGCAACTGACCGCAGTGACTAAACTCTGACTTGATCCCTGCGATCTTCTCAGAATGTCCAAGCGATATATGTGTATTTAATAACGGCTCATAGATGTTTCTTATCTCCAGCCCCCGTGGTGATGCTGTGACGAAGGAACCAATAAGCATCTAAACGACACCGGTTGGAACTGCAAGCATGCCCGCCTCCGCCTGGAGCAGACTGTCTCCGTGGATAGAGAGCCTGATCCTCGGCTATGGCGAGCAGCGGGAGGAGAGCCACGGCGGGCAGCTGAAGGCCAGGGTCATCGAGGTGGGCGATATATCAAAGTCCCAGGACGTTGGCTCCGAGGGCCCCGCGGGGCTCCTCTTCCTGTCGGACGGGCTGCTCCAGATCCCTGCCATTCTCACAAAGTCGGCCTGGGAACACCTCCAGCAGGAGGAGGACCGCGAATGTTTCACCAGCCTGGTCAACACCACGGTCTGCGTCCATGACTACCAGCTGCAGTTCCACATGGCCTCGGAGAAGACCAAATGCAGATTCGTCTTATCGATCAGAGAGCTGGCCACGACTGCGACGGGGCCGGTTAAAGGGAGCGCCCTCTGCAGCACGGCGCTGCCGTCCATCAGGAGGAAGATCTGTGTGACGCGCAAGGCCCTGCTGGGTCAGGAGACGCAGGACTCCCAATATGGGTTCGACCTGTCGGAACTGCTGGGAGAGTGGCAGCAGGACTGCTTGGAGGCCGTGCTGGAGGACGTCAGGGAGAGGCTGGCGGCAGCGAGCCCGCAGCCCTCCACGTCCACGTCCACCTGGGACCAGTTGGCGACCCACACGGACACAACCTGGGGCGTCGACAGGGTCAAATATAAGGGAGTGGAGGGCTTCAAAGTCCCCATGAAGTGTCTTCTCATCTCTGCGGAAAACGCCCTGCAGAATCAAACGCCCCTGAATGTCCGAGGCGGTACGGCTGGTGAACTGTTTGCCCCCCGTGAGGACCGAGAGGGCTCCGTGCCGCCACCTTCAGAGTCCACGTCCCCTTCCATTGACGACGCAGAGTGGAGAGTAGCCAACGGCGAGGAGGAGAACGCCATGGCAGACGTGAAGGATTTATCCAACCCCTGGGATGCTTTCCCTCCGCCATGGGAAACCTCGTCATCCTCTGATGCGTCTCCCAGGAGATTGGTGGACCCCGCCGCCGCCGCCGCCGCCGCCCCCGGATTCAGGTCCGACCACCCTGTGATCCCCGCGTTTAGCCCCAAGGAATCCCAGCAGGCATCCGAGCCCAGCAACCTCCCGCCGTACCAGAAACTCCAGCAATCGTCCGCTTCTCCTTGCGCGAGTCCGCCGGAATACCTCACTGGACTGTCGGAGGCGGCCCCTGCCGCAGACCAAGGCCGCACGGACTCGCCGCCGCCGCCGCCACCTCCGGCTTCGGACCAAGTGGAGGAGACCGTTGAGAGGGAATATGGAAAGGCGAAGAGGAAGAGGAGTGAGCCGACCACTTGGGTGGAGGAGGGGGAAGCGCAGGTCAGCGGCAGCTCTCCGTCCTGGCTCTTTGACACCCAGGCCGGCTGCAGGGCCCACGAGGGCAGCAGTCCCTGGAAGCCGCCGCGGACGCCTGCAAGAACGGTGCCGCGGTCCACAGCGACGGCCCGCCGGTTCTCTTACTCCTACCTGCCGTCGGGACAGAATCTGCATGATTTCAGTCGGTTCAAAGTGGCGGAGTCCTTTCTGCGATGGGCAGTGAGATATCTCGTCGTCCCGAAGCAGACGGGCGACCCAGCAGCCGCCGACCAAGCGTTGTCGGACGAGCCGGCGGTCACCTCGCTTTAGGCTGGAAAAAGCGCATCCGTCATCGCTTCAGTCGCCGCTCTCAGCCTTGTTGGACGATACGGTCTCTTTCTGACATCGTGTTCGCTCATGTTAATGTTCTTGCGAGGCGATGTCCATGGTACGTCCGAGGCACAACGTCGAAAGTCTGGTTTGCAAAAAGGATGGTACGTGTTAATAAAATAAGCAAAAATGTCATTTTCTGTCTGAATTCAAGTAGATTACTTTGAGTTCTTCACTCCATCTCGCATTGTTTCTCCGCACGTGAAGCCTCTACGAGCTGTGCACTGAACTTTGAATCATTTTTGGCAGCTATTTGTCTCATGATAGCGAGTTAATAATAATCATGTGATCCAGTGGTGACAAAAAGCATCCTCTCTTATCCGAGGAAGCAACAGAAACTTGCACCAGAGGTTTCCATCATGTAGTGTAAGTGTTCAGAGGAGAAAAGGACGCTTTCCTCACACTTTAAGTCCCTCACATAATCCCATTAAACCATGAGGCAGAAGAAAAGGAGAAACATTAAGGATAGAATAAATGTGCACTGTCGTTAATTTAATAAACAGAAAAATCTTCAGTCTTAATTTGAAGCAGACCTGCATTAACATCAACATTGAAAACATTTAACCTCGCAGGTCTTTTGACCATTAACCTCAGTCCCAATTATTCTAATACAATAAATATTATGTATATCTACTATTTTTCATTACACTTTTGTTAAAATGCCGTTACGTTATGACTCGTTTGTAGAATGCAAAACTCAAAGTTTAAGGCTTCACGCAACCTGCGAAGTCCTGGGAACACTGGCTTGGTTTGAACCCTTGCAATGCATGCTGGGAGTGTCATCATTTATTGCCATAATATGTCGGACATGCAAGGAATTTGACTTGGCGGTTGGTGCGTAATAGCAGGCAGTACGACAACGGACGACAAGACGACAGTGCACGAGGAATAAAATCAAAATATAATGCTATGGGTTAGTTTAAAAATAAAGGAATAAAAGTTGAAGTTAAAAATACTTAAATATTAAAAATAAAGTGCACCAGCAAACAGAAAGTGACATAAATGGGAGAGGCCGGTAAGTTTGCTACCCGGCAAAAGCATTGTGTTTTCTAGTTTCGTAATGAGCTTCGCTTTATGTTGCTTTAATGAAACACTATGAAACCAAGTGTCTCAGCCACTATCGTCTGTGTCCTCTGAGCCTTCCTGTTTTAGGATGTTTGCTGAACGTAAAGCACTTCTGCATCTGTCCACTAGATGTCACCAATACTCACATGTCATCTTATTCCGTCAATGGGAGGCAAATGGACAACATGCCACAATTGCGACATTTTAAGAATTGATATTACATTACATGTTACATTACAGGTCATTTAGCTGACGCTTTTATCCAAAGCGACTTGCAATAAGTGCATTTCAATCACAAGGATACAAACCCAGAAGAACAAGAAAGTGTAATTTCAAAGATATGCTTTCTCATTTTTATTTGAGCACTGTTTAACTTCGAGATTTTTTACATTTTTTTCCTAGACATTTTTCCAAGTCTCTTTGGGAATGAATTGATATTTTACCAATTATTGAAGAGACGGGAAAAAGCCTCTTTTTAGATTTTGTCTCTTCTTCTTTTCCTGGTTCAAACTCTTTGGTCAACACACCATAACCTTTAAAGCCGGTGCACAGCGCTGTGACCGCCAGTGGGCCGTCTATTGATAATTCATTTACTCCAAATCGGGTGATTATGTGAAATGATTTGCCACGCTGATCACGTGCCGCTAATCATGCTGCACACATGTAAGACGTACGCACTTGAATGTTGGACACGATTTCATGTGTCTTAAAGATGGTTATTTTGGGACGTCTAGATGAGGAAGCATGCGATTCAATGAGTTCTATTCCGCTCCTCGTTTACTGTTGCGGGTCGCAAGGAGCGATGAAAGAGGTGACGTCCCATCACGTCACATCACGTGCACGGTCAACTTTTCACACAGGCTGGCACACAAGCAAACCCCCCCCCCGAAAAAAGTTCTGTCAGGCCCAACAGGAAGCCCCTGAGCAAAATGCATGTGAAATGATGTTTCTCTTTTAACAGCCATAGCACTTTTCTGTATCGCGTCAGAATGAATTCTAAGAAGGTTTTCAAGCAATAATAATAGGAAGATCTCCAGCCGGTGGCCTTTGAAGATGTCCCATCTGGCTCCTCGGGGCTGGAGGCATCTGACGCTCGCATGTTAGTTTAGTTTGATTTGCTGATGAATCATCGTCTGCCGAGAGAGAAACAGAGAAAAGGACCAAACTTGTGAGTTCATCCCCTGAAAGCTCTGAACCCTTAATGTAAGCAGGACGCCAGCTGCGCACACTTGTAAAGTTGTTATAATCCTCCTTGACCTATAAACAGGAAAATACATAATATAAAGCATCATGGCCCCGCATGTACAAATAATACTGTTGAACGTTGTCCTTGTAAGGCAATGTGGTCCTCGGAGTCCGACTGCAGATTCTCATTCAGTTCACGTTGACGCAAATGCAACATGCAACTTTATCCAATGAGCAGAGGCACCGTTCGGACAGGAGGGCAAAAAGTCCAGCACAAGAGGATTATTTGGAATGCATGTTGATTCAGGTGACCACCCCGACCGGGCCCTGAACCATCCCGACCATTGTCACTCTATATGTTCCACTTTGGAGCCAATGACTCGGATCATCACGACCTCTCGTTGTCAGAGATTGTGTCGGTATGAAATAATGAGGTGCGAGTTGGGTTGTGGTATTTATTGTGAAGCTGTTGCGATCGGCTTGATATTTTTCTCAGATTCATTATTTAGAACCTTAAAGGAATCGTACACCAGAAGCGGACATCGGGACCCTCAAGCTGCCCTGAGTCTTGAAATACTAAAACACGCGTTTTGAAGATTTGAATACAGCTAAAAAAAGATTGAACTCCTTCAGGTTTAGACTACTGGTATGAATACAGAATAATATGCACATTGTTCGTATCTCTACTGTAAAATAATGAAGAAAAAAATAAGCTTAACTGCATGACTAATATAAAAACTTAACAAAGCCAAGTTATGGAGAATTTCACTGAAATTAATGGAAATGGTTTGTGTCTTGTGTCCTAATAATAGTGTAACACAAAAGAACATGGCCACATGGGAATACAAATAATTACAGTTCAAGTCTATAACAAATATGTATTAAAAAGACAACGGATTTGGCAGCTGTCGCCCGCATCTCAATCCGCTAAAGTCATATCAATGGAGTTTACTGGGAAAGTGATTAATACCACTCGTTCAAAGTCAATTTTTCTTTTAAATTTAGAGAGGGGGGGGGGGGGGGGGGTAAAAAGAAAATATTGAGGTCCCCATTTGCGTGGTTTTACCACCCACTCTCCCACATATAAAAAATTTGAGGTGGGGGCCCCGGGACAAAAAAACCCCGGGCCCCGGGACACCTCCCTGTTTTCAACACAAGAGAACGCGTGTTTTCCCCCTGGACCCACTCTCCCCAAAAGAACCCGCGGTGTTTGCTTGTTCTCTCTGTGTGAGGGGGTGGGGGGGGGGGGAGACAGGGGGGGAGACTGGGGGACGGGGGGGGGGGGGGGGGGGGGACGTGATATTTCAAACAGCACATCAGTGCGTTTATGTATTGAGTGCCCGGAAATTTTTTCCAAATAAACACAGCTTGATTCGACCTGGGTGGGCAGACTTATCAAGCGACTAATTCTATAAACAAATGAGGGAACAACCCGAAACCTCATTGGCCGAAAACAAGTGAGGGTGTGTGTGAGTGTGTGTGTGTGTGTGTGTGTGTGTGTGTGTGAGGGGGGGGGGGGGTTCAGCGCAATGAAATTTTAATTAATGTGGGTGGGCTGAGAACACCACCGACTGTTTATGATGGTCAATTTATTCCCCATGTGCAAAGTCAACATAACACAGCGTGCACGTGCAACAAGCACCAACATGTCGCGGGGCCCGGACGGGGCCGCGGGAGTCACTCAGTGCCGGCGGAGGAGGAGGTGGAGGAGGAGGAGGAGAGGAGCTCCGGGAGCAGCCTTCACTTTCCCCGGGAGACACCCCGCCGCGTCCCCGGCGCCATGACCCTCTACCACGGCCGCCTCGGGATGCGCCTCCCGGCTCCCCAGCTCCTCTACCTGTACGGAGGCGACGGCCGGGGCGGGGTGGTGCCCGCCGCCCTGGGCTTCGCGCCGGCCCGCCAGGAGAGTCCGCAGAAGCCGCCCTACAGCTACATCGCGCTCATCGCCATGGCCATCAAGGGCGCGCCGCAGCAGCGCGCCACGCTCAGCGGCATCTACCAGTTCATCATGGACCAGTTCCCCTTCTACCACGACAACAAGCAGGGCTGGCAGAACTCCATCCGCCACAACCTGTCCCTGAACGACTGCTTCGTCAAGGTGCCCCGGGAGAAGGGCCGCCCCGGCAAGGGCAGCTACTGGACGCTGGACACCGGCTGCCTGGACATGTTCGAGAACGGCAACTACCGTCGGAGGAAGAGGAAGGCTAAGAGCCAGCAGGACGCGCGGGACCCCTAAGCCGCGGGGTACAAGCGCGCCAGGTGTCCTGGGTCCGTGCGGGGACCACCGATCCTCTCTGGGACGTCCCGCTGGCTCGGAGGCAGCGGCGGCGCAGCCGGACGCGAAAGCGCTTCTGGTCGAGTCGAACCGCGCGGAGCCGACTCCCCGTCACCCCGGTTCCGAGCTGCGCCCCGGCCGAGACGCACGTGCGCACGTCCGGGGCCGAAGGACAGCGGCCAGTGGGGGAGACGAGGAGCGAGTCGGTTTCGGAAACGCTGACCCGGGCGCGCGCGTGCAGCACGCGCCCAAAGGGCACGCGCTGAGCGTGAGCCCCAAATCCAAAAGTTTCAGCATCGAGAGCATCTTGTCCCGCGGCGAGGGCGAAGCGCGCGGCGGCGTCCCCGGGCTGTCCGCGGGGACACCGGGGACGTGCGCAGAGCCCGGCGCGCCCGCGCCCGCGCCCCTCGGCGCGCGGCCGCACCAGTTGTACCAGATGGGATTCCCGCTGTGCTCTTACCCGTCCGTCGCCCGGCTGCATTTTAAATGAGAGCAGCTCGAGACCGTCCTGCGTTTTACCCACGAACGGAATTGAAAGTGGTTATTATTTGTGGTCAATGAGCAAAAAAAAGTGTTTAAAGTGCGCACGAGGGCCAGATTGTGAAAGTGAAAGCTCGGCGCTTCTCTCTTCATTAACTAAGCGGCTGAAAACTAAAAACTAAATGATGTTCAAACATTTCATTGTGCTCTGGATGTGTGCAGAAAAGGGAAAACGACAGTGTGATTTATTTGACAAAAAATGTCAAAATATAAATTGTATTGGAAGGTTGTAATGTCACTTTGCTGTGACAACATTCTGTGTCTTCTTTTATAACGCTTTTGATATCAAGGATGCAGCTCTCAAGGGGACTGAGGCTTGTTCAGTGTTTCTGTCCTGTACACTTGATTTATTAAAAATGTATTATTTATCCGATGTGATTGGATAACATTGACATTTTCTCTGCCAGCAGTTAAATCAACTTTACGCGGACGGTAAGAAACATCATCAAAAAGAGTTTCACTGTTCTGGTGTGAAACGACAGAGCAGTTTGATCCGTTGGAGTCAGTTTAGAGTCAGAAGAATCACGTGACGGCTCATCATCTAAACCGGACAACTGACGCCTTTTATTGAAATCAATATAGTGATTGAATATGGTGAGAAATGACTGGTTCTCTTTGTGCTTACATGATGTATAACAGGAGTATTAATCCATGCAGAGAGGATTTCGTCTAACAAAGGTCCAGAACATCTCTGTTAATAATGACGCTATGATTTAGCTTTTTATATTGTTGTATGTGTCGTTAAAAATAAAGAAAGTTACGTTGAATAATACCTCAACAATATTCATCATCAGTTTGAGAAAGGTCGTGGTTATCTTAAAATATTTAGATTTTTTCAAATGAAATAAGATTCATGAACAGAGAAAAGAAGTAAGATATATCAGAATCAGAACAGTTTTTTGACAAGAATGTTACACAAATGTTGGAAAATGTTTGGGGAAAGTTACAAAAAGTTTAATAATCAAGTCATCATTTGAAAATATTGATAGATAATAGTACGTTAAAATAGGTACGTTTTGAAAGAGGCAAGTGTAATTTAATATAGAGTGTGTAACGGTAAGAAATTGTCCCGGGGTTGTGTGAGTCGGAGTCAGCAGGGGGTCCCGTGCGTTGTGAACACAACGGCATGCAGGTGGGTTAACACGATGAGATTATTCCTTCGAATTTCTCACGTGGTAAATAAAAAAACAAAAACAAACTCACTCGAGGTCCCATTGGTTTATGTTTCACTTTCATTTAACGACCATCCTCACAGACGGAGACGCCTTAGACCATAAACGCCGACTTCCAACCTCGACAACGAACTTTCTTAGCTCACGAATTAGCGACGTGTGAAGAAAGCTTCAGTCCTGTCTCTCTGATTACAACTACAGCTTCGGAGTGAGCCGATCTGAGTTGCGTCTTGTGTTGCAGACAGCTGCATGAAGTCGAAGAGCCATTTCTAAATATAGGCCTGTGGCTTCGACACACGTCGCCTGAAAGAAGCCGGAGGAGCCTTGCGAATCAGGAATGTTTGTTAAAAATAAATAAACTTCCTCACATTTTAGGGGGAGAACTAGCAATCACAAGCATTTCCTGTGTATAGGGTTCTTTCATAAATAAAACACCACAGACAGCTCTGAGGGGAGAGAAGGGAGGAAGGGAAAGAGGTATCCGTCAACGCTTTGTCTCTTTGGGGCTTTGGTATTAACTCAGGAAGCCCTTTGGCTCCGCTGGTTCTTCATCCTCCAGCGAGTCCGCTAGAAGCAAGGTGGAATAATTTGTGTTAGTTGTCTGATGGTCCCTTTTTGATCAGTAAAAGATCCTAAGCAAGCAGTCCTTACAAAAGGAAGATTCTCTCTCAGACCTTCAACATGGCACCAGTCTGATATCCCCTTATGTGTCAGAATGCAATTAATTCTAAACAACAAAGCTAAAACGCATGTGGGGCGGGGGGGGGGGGGGGGGGGCTTCAATGTTTCTGTATCATCAAAGAGGGGCCCAACAGAAAACGTTTGGGATACTCTGCTGTAGCCAAACAGATGTTTAGGCGACAAAACAAGGAGAAGTTCGATTCAGGCAACAAACCACACAACAGTTAGATTCAGGCAACAAACCACCAACAGTTAGATTACGGCAACAAACCACCAACAGTTAGATTCAGGCAACAAACCACCAACAGTTAGATTTAGGTTGCAAACCACCCACAGTTAGATTCAGGCAACAAACCACCCACAGTTAGATTAAGGCAATAAAACACCAACAGTTAGATTCAGGCAACATAGTACCCATCTTTAGATTAAGGCGACAAACCACCAACAGTTAGATTTTGGCAACAAACCACCAACAGTTAGATTAAGGCAACAAACCACCAACAGTTAGATTCAGGCAACAAACCACCCACCGTGCGGTTGAGGCAACAGACCACGAAAAGTTAGATTCCGGCAACCAACCTCCGCCAGCTAGATTCAGGCAACAAACCTCAAACAGTTAGATTCAGGCAACAAACCACCAACAGTTAGATTACGGCAACAAACCACCAACAGTTAGATTCAGGCAACAAACCACCAACAGTTAGATTCAGGCAACAAACCACCAACAGTTAGATTACGGCAACAAACCACCAACAGTTAGATTCAGGCAACAAACCACCAACAGTTAGATTCAGGCAACAAACCACCAACAGTTAGATTCAGGCAACAAACCACCAACAGTTAGATTCAGGCAACAAACCACCAACAGTTAGATTAAGGCAACAAACCACCAACAGTTAGATTCAGGCAACAAACCACCAACAGTTAGATTACGGCAACAAACCACCAACAGTTATATTCAGGCAACAAACCACCAACAGTTAGATTAAGGCAACAAACCACCAACAGTTAGATTACGGCAACAAACCACCAACAGTTAGATTAAGGCAACAAACCACCAACAGTTAGATTACGGCAACAAACCACCAACTGTTAGATTACGGCAACAAACTTCCAACGGTTAGATTCAGGCAACAAACCACCAACAGTTAGATTAAGGCAACAAACCACCCGACAGTTAGATGGTGTCCAACAAACCACCGGACGACAGATTCGGGCAGCAGACCAACCACATCCATATTCAGGCTACGAAGCACCTCCAGTGGGGATCATGCCTCCAGACACTCCCGGCTGGATCAGTGGCACCCTCTGCCGCTCAGGTGATTGCAGCGACGACTCTCAGCCAGGAAGAGGCTTCGCAAATCTTCACCTAATGTCGAAATACAGGCCCCCATCTTCCTCCGTACTGTATGGCCCCCATCGACAGGTGAACTGGGCAGATCATTTCAATCAAGAGTCCGACGGGAATAAAGATCACCGAGGGCCCCGAAGCCAAGTCTCCCCCAAATTGGCCAAAGTTCCTCTTGAAGCTGGCGGAGCACCGGTTAATCCGGTACAGATCCCAGGTATCCCCAACTATATTTCTGCACCGCACCCCCAAGGTGCTGGGGTGTCGGATGCATCACCCTCGCAGACTCTATCTCTTTACCATCATCAATCTTCGGGGTGGTATTCGGGAAGCCACCCTCCGGGGAAAAAAAATGTGAGCAATTCTCTTTTGGCAACCTTTTGGCATTTTGTATCCCCACAAGGGGTTCCCGTTT